ATTGGATGATGATGGCACATCCCCGGTTCTAGAAGAACCTTCATCAACACATAAAACAGGGGATTGCTTAACTAAAAAAGAAGGATAGAGCAGCCACTAGGCTGCTGGAGCACACAGATGTGATCATTCCCCAAACTGCTGAGCATTTAATTGAGGCGTCAAGATACATGTAAATCATATTACCAACTAACATGACAAAAATACAAAACCCAGATATATGGAGAGGTTCAGATATGAGATGTTGCTGCTTATCGAGCTGACCTCCATGGTGACCCCTATGCACAGTAAGACAGAATGCTACCTGGATAAGACCACTGTGATCCAGAGGACTTTCGTCTGCTGATTTTTTCAGAAGTAGGACTGCCGGGTCTTTCTTCCTGGTTCTGTGCATGAGGGTCATTGGCTGGGAACTGAATCCAAATCTCCCGCAGTTATTGCTGTGAAGAGCTGTACAATCAGTTTTGACTCATAGCAGCCCTGTATGAGGTTTCTGAGGGGTGGCTGGTTGAGTTTGAAATGCCAGCCTTGTGGTTCAACCCGACCTTGTGGTCAGGTGCTTATCCTACAGCACCCGCTAGATCTCCTACTGAACCATCACTACCCCACACCCACACACAATAAACATATTTTGTTTGCACATCAACCCTGCAGTCTTTTGGTACAGCAAATGCTACAAAAGTCAATGTCAAAAGATAGGCCCTACTTCCTCCCAAAGGCTGCCCAGAGCATTCGGAGCCCGCCCCATCAGACCTCTGGATTCTGCTGGCAAGAGGGTCCCGCACAGTGGAGACTGAGCAGGTGCTTCCACGTGAGGTCTGGTAAGTTTCCTTGGAGGTGCCTGGTCTGACTTGGCCTTCCTGTCAAAGGATGACATCACAGCTCATGGTCAATATTAACCACAGCTGGCTAATTTAAAATGATATTACTTTGTTCTGAAGCCAGCAGTAATAGCTGCTGAATCTACTCAGAAAAGGAGATGTTTGCTTAAGATGTTTTAGGAGGTGCCTCCAACAACCTTGGGGATCCATGCCAACCATTTAGCTCCTGTCCAGCTCCATCCGAGGAGTGCATAACAAGCCATGGGACAGGCTTGAGGCTTGTCACATCTCCATCATTTCTGCACTAGTAGATGCACCAAACCAAAAATTCGCTATCGTCGTGTCAATTCTGACTCATGTAACCCCATAGGATAGAGTAGGCCTGCTTCATGGAGTTTCTGAGACTGTAAATCTTCACAGAAGCAGTCTCATCTTGCTCTTGAGGAGCAGCAGGTGGGTTTGAACTGCTGATCTTGTGGTTAACAGCCCCATGCTTAATCCCAGTTCTCTGCACAGAAGCTATTGCCCACTCACTTGGCACTGCACCCCTCAAAAGAAATGTCTTTAACAAAATATATGTGCCAAGTGTCAAAACTGAATGTAACACTTTGTTTTTATAAGCAGACATGCTGCCATATTGCTAATAGTACCAGTTCCTACTAAGTCAACGCCAACTGATAGTGACCCTGTATGCGTCAGAGTAGACCTGTATTCCATAGGGTTTTAAAGGCTCTGATTTTTTAAATGTAGCTCTCCAGGACTTTCTTCCAAGGTGCCTCTGGGTAGACTCAAACCTTCAACCAATCAGTTAGCAGAACATGGTAACAGTTTACACTACCCTAGCGGCTCCTGCACTATTATTAAATATCATTGAATCAGGCTCAGACTCATGGCGACTTCATGCACAATGGGATGGGACCACCATTCTGATCCATAGGATTTTCACTAACAACGTTTTGGAAGTAGATCACCAGGTCTTTCTTCCTAGTCTTAGTCTAGAAGCTCCCCTGAAATCTGTTTAGCAACGTTGTTGTTGTTAAGTGCCGTCGAGTCGATTTCAACCCATAGTGACCCTGTATACGGTTTCCGAGGAGCAGCTGGTGAGCTTGAACCACCAACTTTGCCGTTCAAACGACTTTGCAGTCTGGTGCATTAACTCACAGCACCACACCAGGACTCCCAACACTCAAATCTCACTGACAAATGGGTGTCAGCTGTACATGAGGTACACTGGCCAGGAAATGAACCCACATCTTCCCTCATGGAAGGTGAGAATTCTACCACTGAACTGAGACTTTTACACACCAGGAAATCATTTGCTTAGGAGATACTTGCAAAACCTTGATTTTTAGGCAATCCCAGAGAACATTATGGGACAAAGAGTAAGAAGAGTGAATGACGCTGAGATCACAAGAGGGGAAGAACCAGTTAAAAACAGACCTGGGTATTGAGACTTCCAGCAAGTTAACAGTGAGACACCATGGAGAGAGTAAACTGAATATGCTCCCATCTCGCCCCAGACCACTAGGTCGCTGTCCCTGGGGCCCAGTGAGGAACAGGCCTTCTCTCTTAGGCCTCGGCTGTGGGGCTGGAGGCATTAAGATTCTAAAATTTGAGGACCCTGGCAGACGTAGCCTCTGAATGAAGGAGCTCAGAGGAAAGAGATAAACCAGGGAAGAGTCAAGGTTTGTCCCCCAAATATTTTATTTAAATATTAAATTAGAAAACACACATCAACTAATCATTTGGCATACAGTTCTCATTTTAACATAAGAAATAATTCAGGGATGATATAAAATAAAATAAAATAAAAACACCGACAACAAAACACAGAACTATGTACATCTTAGATCTCGTAGTGTCTTTAAATAGGCTATTGTGGCTGCAGTCTGTAGAACAACACTGTCAGGCAATCTACAAAACACACAGCATACATTTAAAAAAAAAAAAAAAACAACAACCAAAAAACAAGAAACGAAAGCATGATGCTCCTGTCCTCCAACAGAGGTTCTACAGCAGTAAGAGGGGGGAAAAAAACCAAGAAAAACAAAACAACCAAAAAACAAGAGACGAAAGCATGATGCTCCTGTCCTCCAACAGAGGTTCTACAGCAGTAAGAGGGGGGAAAAAAAACCAAGAAAAAAAACAAAACTATGAAAGTAAAGTGCTTGTCATTTGCTTAAAAGAGGAAACACACAACGGTTTCTGAGGCCTTTGATCTCAGCTCGGGAACAGAAATTATGTAAGAAAGGGGAAGCGATGTTCTGTGTTGGAATCGGTTGTGCTACCTCTGTAAAAAATGAAGGCATGGGTCTGGGCTGCCCCAGGAGGGTGGAAATTCTCTCCCCATTCTGGAAATTTCTTTACAAGTTAGCAGGAGACTTTGGTGTTTTCTCTGTGGCCAGGCACAAGGGCCACCCATAAGGGCTGATCCTTGGCCCTGAATCTTTGATGCAGCCGCGGAGCAGCAGCAGTAACAGTAGCAGCAAACTTGGCTAACAGCAGAGAAACATGTGTGGACCCCAGTCGGCCCAGGTCAGGACAGCACTGGCGGTGTCCCCATCCACCCAGCCATTCTCCTGACCCTCAGCAATTCGGTCAGTCTTTGGCTTTTTAAAAAATTCCCACCTTTCTCTGTTTCCTAATGACCTTTTAATACTGCAGGTTGTTTGAAGCCAAAGTAATCTGAAGGCACCTGCATTAGGCAAAGGGAGGGGACGTGGCCACAGAGAACAAGTGTAAAGTGGCAATTTTCCTTTTTGAATTCCAAAGATGCCTTGACAAAGGGAGCCCTACTCAAATTTACCTAAGGTTTTCACTGCCATCTCTGCACCCCTCCCCTCCCCCGGCACTTTGAGGGGAAGAAGGGGCCCTATGGCCCCCTCCTCAACATGAAACAGGTGCTGACACGAATGTTATCTTAACATTACCGAAGAAAATTGAAACCAGAAACACAAAGTGTAGTAAAAAATATAAAAAATAAGTAGTGTGTATTTGTATCCTATTTATATACATATACAGTGTTTGTTTTAAAAAAGGAAAAAAGGCTTTTAAAACACTGACCTAGACATCAACTCATTTTCCTTGAACAAAAAGCCAACCCATCAGGACCATCGGGTCCTGGCCCAGAAGGGCGGGGTCTGTTGGCCCAATTCTTCCCCATCTCGGTCCGTACAATCATAGCCTCGCGATATTGCACGTTCCCCCCAGAGTCTGTTGTTCATTTTGGACCCTGATAATGAAATGCATAAGAGCGTAATTAGCAGCAGAAATAAAATGTGCAGCACAGAGAGAACGCTCCTCTTCTGGCTCCTCAAAGGAGGGGGAGGGTTCCCGCCAAGCGGTACGGAGCCGAGCCACTACTTGCCCAGCCCCGCAGCACCCGGGCCCCACGGCTCTTGTCATTCCTGTGGCTTCTCTGGAAACCCAATCCATGAGCAGGTTATTAACTTCTTGTCAAAAATAAGAAAAACAAACAAATCTATACTCTGGGTTCTGACTTTAGGGGAGAGAATTCCAAGAGTTTGTCAATAACTCTCTCCTGGTCTATCTGAGCCTTTTAAAACACCAGTACATAAAGCAAAAAGTTCACAGTTTCAATTTAAAGCATAAATGTTTCAAAAAGTAGAGGATTGTTAACTACTTTGAAAAAAAACCAACAAAACGAAAAGATACTAAGTAACGTGTGTGCGCACATGTACACACACCCAGCAATACCCACTTTTGTCCCCTGGACACAGTTCATGCCACCATTTCCTCAGAGGTCACCAGCCCCCATGCCCCTCCTTAAGCCTGTGCTAGAGCTCCCCCCCACCCCCCTCTCCAGCCCCACAATTACCATCTCTAAAGTCACCCCCATCCACAGAGGGGCACGCAGAGCCCAGTCCTCCCTCCATCCCAGCCTTCCCTTCTTCCCCACCCTGCCCATCCACCCACCCCAACAACACGCCCCTCGATGACTATTTTTTTTCTGAAAGTTTCCAGTTCCTATTCAGTCACAGCTGTTCAGTGCAAGGAAAAAGGAAAGCAAATGAAAAATTAACAGAAAAGCTCAAACACCTAACGTATTGCTTGTTTCGCTTCCAGAAAGTTATTGGCTTTGAGTCCGTCTTCACATACTCTGAGATTATTGCTTCGAAGAGTCGGGAGTGGCTGGCGCCAGCAGGGGCTGGGCCTGTGCCCTCACTGCACCAGCACAAAGGTGCCCAGCTGGCCAGTGGTAAGGTCGTCCATCTCACAGTCCCCCTGCGCCAGCCCTGAGGGCTCGAAACCGGGGGGCAGCACAGCGAAGCGGGGCTGCGGGGTGGCAGCAGGGACAAGAGGTGCTGCAGCAGAGCTGATGTGTAGGTGGGTGTCCAGGAGCTGTGCCGTAGAGGCCATGGGGGAGGCAGTGGCTGGGAACAGGTGGGATGGCAGAAGCGGGCTGGGTCCCAGCACCAGCTCCTTCTGGAATCCTGACACCAATAGAGTGCTGGAGATTGGAGAGACACTGGTGCTGTCACCCGGGGCAAGGACGTAGGGAGCCTGGGGCAGCGGGGGTGCCTGTGGGCAGCTGGGCTGGGCGGTCGGGTGGTGCTGTAACTGGAGCAGCCTGGAAGAACAGGACAGGAGAGGCAGGTCACTCCCTGCTCTGTCTGTGCCCCTCACCCCAGTGAGCCAGTTCCAAGTCTGCTTGCAGATGCGATCGGGTTTCCGTGCCGCCCGTGTGTAAGAACTCGCCCTTGTGGAACTGCTGGCTGGAACCGATCAGAACACGCAATGATGTGCGTGACTAATCCCCTGAGCAATTTCTAACATTTCCACGCTCCATCTTGCTTTTACAGCAACATAGGGATGCCAACCATACGTGACATTTTGATTCACGACCATCCTTAGTCCCCATGTAGGGGCTAAACCATGGCATGGCCAGCCTCCTCCTACCCCAGAGAGGGTGAGTGAGGCCCTGAGCTTCATATGTTCCCCCAAACATAGGAATGGAATGTGTGCATACTTGATTATGTGGAAAAAGGTGGAGCTAACAGATCAGGTTACTGAAGAGAAAAACCACTCCTAACGTGCAAGTCACACCAAGGTCAGGGAGACTGGGGAAGAAGTAAGGTCAGCTCGGGGCCTCATACCTCTGTTGGTGGAGCACTTCTTCAAGTAGGTTCCGGCTCTCCCGAACATTGTTCCCGCTGCTGTAGGGGCCAGTGCTCTGTGTGGGGAGTGGGAAGGGGCTCAGTCCACCTCGTGGGAGCCGGCTGGCAGAGGAGGACTGGCACACCTGACGAGCCAGGCCCTTGATCTTGTTCAGCCCCAGAAACCCTTTGGTCCTGGCGTTCTTCCTCAGCTGCTGTCGAAAAGCTTTCAGCCCTGGGGACAGATGAGATCAAAGTGTCTACAGCCCACTGCCTCCAATTCCAGGACAGAAAGCCCTTGGCTTATGAGGTATTCCACAGCTGGGGAGGAGGCCCGGGGGCATGCTGTCGCTCCTATGAGTGAAGCAGCACTCTCCGTCACCTGTGTGACTGTCACAATCACCCATCCCTCCCCAGGCTATGAAGTTGGGTGGAAGTTCTGGAAGGAGGGTACTAGCAGTGCAGGGATGCACAGGCATTCCAAACCCCAGGGTCAGCCAGGTTTGGCTGCTGTTGCTAGTGGTTCACCCTCCCCCACAAGCTCTCCCTTTATCCAAGTCAGGAGCTGTGCCTAGTCCCAAAGTTTCAGGACCAGCTGACAAAGGCACCAGCCCAAGGTCCTGAGGTTTGATCTCACGCATTAAGTTCAGGACTGGCCTGTACTGCCCCAGCCCCCACCCAAGCTGGAGAAAACCCCAAACACTATACCAGCTGCCACTGAATTGACACCAACCCACGGCAACCTCATGTGTGCCAGAATAGAACTGTGCTCCACAGGGTCTTCAGTGGTCGGTTTTTCGAATAGATCACCAAGCCTTTCTTCTAAAGTGCCTCTGGATGGCCCTTCAACCTTTTAGTTAGCAACCGAGCTTGTTCATGTTTGCACCACCCATGGACTCCTCCAATTTAGCTAGACAGCAGGAAATGCCATCTGTCACCAAGAACAGAGGGACACCCTTCAGAGGAGGGGAACACTTACCCTGGGTGAGTGAGGTATCTGAGGCTCTTCGTCCTTCCTGGAAGCTGACAGGGAGTGGGACGGTGGGGCCTAGGCCCCCCTGTGCCTGCAACACTGGTGTGGCAGACTGGGCCCCGAGGCATGGTGTGGCACCTCGCATAGGTGAGCAGGTACCCTCCAGACCTTGGGCGGCCAGGCTGCTGAGCCCCATGGGACCGCCGCTTGCTGAGAAGGTCAGACAGCTATCAGAGCTAGTTCCTTCAGATGAGCCCACCGCCGCTGCACAGGAGGAGGAAATGATGATGCCTGGAGGAAAACACAGCATTTTCAGGCGCCACACTAATCACGAGGGGCTCTACAGACCCTACTCTGAGAGCCTCAACTCCGTGAGAGAAGAGCGAGAGAACACTGGATCGGCTTCCTTCCCATCTCAACCACAGACCAGGAGGGAAAGGGTATCTGCCAGTGGCCAGAGACCACAGAAGCCCAAGGAGCTTCTGGCTACCACGGGGCTGCAGGTGGCAGATGATTTGTGCAGGCCAAGGACCCACCCCTCCACCCACTAGAATGCCACAAGATGACCACAAACTAAGCCCCATGCTGCCTTCTGCACTCAAACAGCAATACAGTGTGTGAATGATCATGTAGCCTCAGGGAATAAAACCCAAGGCAGACCTGGAAAACTCATTGGAAAAGGGTGCTGTCCAGAAAGCTTCCTTTTAAACTGGACTGTGAGAAAATCAGCCAGAGGCCCTGCCAATCAGCCCTATCTCCACAAACAGTATGCCAGTCCTGGAACACTCACATGGAGGGGTGTGTGGGGAAAAGTGGGCAGTGACCTCAGCCAGTGTATGTCGCCGGCCCGTGCCACTGGGCAAGGTCTCCTGCACCTTCAGCTCCTCCTCCAGGCCCTGGCCCTGCCTGGCTTCCTCGCTAATGGCTGTGTCAAGCAGGCTGCTTGGAGAGACGGAGCGGTGCCGGAACATTGCATCGCAGTTGGCGTCCATGGGGAAGAACAAGGGCTGCAGCAGAGCAAAACAAACCAGTTATTTCTGGGACTCCAAGAGTCCTGGATGTGTTTGCGGGGAGGGGCACTCCCAGGAATCACCTCATCACAGGGCTCACCTGGAGCGAGGTGCTGAGGTCACAGTCCATCTCAGCCTGCAGGACAGACTGCACCAGGACCTGGGGCTGCGGGCACAGTAAGGGTGAGCGGAGGGGGTCAATGGTGAGGCCTTCCTGGGACACCTGGGGACAGAAAGAGGCAGGCGCATCTGAGCAAGGGCTCACACCACCAAGACAAAGGGTGGCCCCAGGCAGAGAGGCAGGGACAGGCCTCAGAGGCGGAGGTTCTCTCCTCACCTCAAAACTGCTGAGCTCAGAGCTCTGGGGTCTGGGCAGCCGGATGGGCCCTGGGCGGGCTGGTGGCTGGGAGCTCCGGTACTCCTTCAGACGCTCGAGGAGGAGGTAATAGATGGCAGCAAAGTGGTTGTAGCTGCTATTCTGCAGTGACTGTGAGACAGAAATGGAGGTTAGTGTGAAGATGCAGAGGAGAATAAGTTATGGTCCGAAGTTCTGGAAAAGGCAGAGGGCTTTGGTGTTCCTGCATGGATTTCTATACTTCCATGTGAGACCAGGTCCCTTAGTGGGTGCTCTTAGTGGCTGAGGTCCCTTAGTGGGTGCTCTTAGTGGCTGAGGAACCACTGGAGCAGCTGGACTTGACATCAATCAACCACACTCCACTGACCACCCGCCAACCCGTCTGCAGGTGACGCTACCAGCTCACCTCCACAGTCCTCCGCCGGTCAATGCCCAACATCTGCATGATGCCCAGCACCTGCTCGTTGTAGTCCCCCAGGTTGGAGTTGTAGTCCTGGGCTACGAAAGCCAGGGAGGTGGACTGTAGCAGCGTGGGCTCAGCCTGGATCCACCGGTGCTGCTTGATCTGGGCGACGGTGATGCGCTTGGCAGGGTCTACTACCAGCATGCGGCGAATCAGCGACTCGCAGTCTGTAGAGGACAGAGGGTGTGCTGAGCCCTGCTGCGGGCCAGGCTACCACCCGCATAGCCCTGTGAGATGCCAGCTCCCTTTGCCCGCTAGGAAACAGACAAGCTAGAGTAATCCAAGCGAGTGCTAAGGCCCCTGGCCCCTGGCAGGACACGACCGTAATCTTAATGTCCACCAGACAAAGAACCTTCCCACCATGTTTTGTGACCGAGCACTTTCACAAGAGTAGGCCAAGACTCTGTATGCAACAGCTGTTTAAGAAAAAAGCTCACATATAGATCTGGTTAGTGGGTGAGACCAAAAGGAGTGCGTAAGCTTGGGGAGTCAGCCTGAGAGTGGATCCCAAAGAACAGTGTGTAGCCACAGAGGGAGGGTAGTGTACCCTGGAACTAAGGCATCAAGGGCCTCATGGGGTTGGGTTTCTCAGCAGGCATTGTGTCCACGCCCCATAAGAGCAAAGGCTGATTCATAACTTCCACTCCACACCAGGGACAGTGGAGCAGGTAATGCAGGAAATTAATTCTCCCACTTCTAACAAGTATCTAGGTTATCCTGGACCACAGAGGGAACAGATCTACTGCCCACCTACCTTGGGACATGAAGAAGGGAATTCGGAAGCGGCCCTCCAGCACCCGCTGACGCAGGGTGGGCAGGTTGGGTCCATCAAAGGGCAGTGAGCCACATACCAGCACGTATAGCACAACCCCAAGGCTCTGTGGACACCAAGCAATACCGTGAGCAATCAGCGGACACCCCAAAGCACACACCATGTGGCACCATCCCATGCAGCAGCCCTTACCCAGACGTCAAGCTGGGGACCTTCGTACTCCTTCCCTTCAAAGACCTCTGGGGCAGCATATGGGGGGCTCCCACACCATGTGGAGAGGGCTTCTCCCGACTTGTAGAAATTTCCGAATCCAAAATCTAAGAGGGAAAGAGTCAGGTTAGGGGTTTTGAGAATAAGGCAGACTGCAGTTCCAAAATCATCCACAGCACCCCATAGAGCTCTCATCCAGCCCCGGGCACCCATGTGTGTCCTTGCCTGCCAGCTTGATGTCCATGTTGCTGTCCAGCAGCAAGTTTTCAGTCTTCAGGTCCCGGTGGACAATGTGGTGGTTGTGGCAGTACTCCACAGCAGACAGAATCTGCCAGAACTTCTTCCGTGCTTCCTCCTCACTCAGGTGCCCATTAGAGGTCAAATAATCTAAGAAGGGATGAGATCAAAGCCATGTCCCTAAATCCGAGGTCTGCCCACCCTCTTGGGAACAATGACAAAAAGTTGTACAAGTTTAAGGCATCTGGTTCCAAAGCCTAGACAGGCAATTCTGGGCACATCCATACATTTATTAAAAATAAGTGTGACTTACCAAACATCTCTCCATTTTTTGCAAATTCAGTGACAATGTAAAGCATGTCCTTGGTTTCCATAACCTAAAAATAGAAAGACCTAATATTTAACCACAAAAAGGGAACATACCAATTGTGTAAGTAATCCACTCAAGACCTAAATTTTACCTTCTCCTGGATACATGCATTCATCATTTTAAAAAGGAAAGAGAAATTAACATCTGCAATAAAGAAACCAATTATGGGTAGGAATAGGATTATAGAGAAAGAAGAGTGTTAATAAGATTGACTGCTAACCAAAAGATTTGAAGGTTCAAGTCCAACCAAAGGTACCTTGGAAGAAAAGAGAGAAATCCTGTGGGAGACACAGCTCTACTGTGATGTACATAGAATTGCCATAAATTGGAGTTCACTCTATAACAACTGGTTTTTTTTTTTTTTGCTGTTGTTGTTTTATGTGAAAAGAGTTTAAGAAGAAGGAAAAAAAAGAGGTGAATTTCTCATTGTTGTTGTTAAGTGCTATCAAGCCAATTCCTATTCATAGCAACGCTGTATAGGTTTTCTGAGGAGTGGCTGGTGGGTTTGAACCACCAACCTTGTCTTTAGTAGTCCAGTGCTTATCCCACAGGGCCATACCAGAATTTATTAGCTTACCTATATTGACAGATCTTTTTTCTTAAAAGAGTAAATATATCAGAACATTTTAATGCCATCATATTACCACAGGTTGCTTATATTTCTCTTCTGGACACCAGAGGTGACAAATCTAAAACAGGTTGCTAGCCTTCTGCTAAGACTTTTTGTTAGAAGCCTGGCTGGCAGATCACAGATTATTCAAACTGATAGTCACGGCCAGAGCAAACTGAATAATAGATAACAAATACCCAATTCCCACTCCTTCTATTGACATGATAAATGAGGCTGAAAGAGGATGGTGTGGTCAGGTAAGACAGACAATAGACTGCCCTTTGTCTAGCAAATTCCCCCACATGTGTCAACAGCAGTAGCCAATGTCAATATATACCTTAAGATTCCTTTAATGATCAAGAATTTTAGATTACATTTTTAGAAGACATTTATTTAGAAGCTCAAAACTGTAACTAATTAGGAAAAAAGATAAAATTCAGTTTTCGGTAGTTTTGTATATGTTATTTAAAAATATTTCGGAGGGGGAAAGAGATGATATATTCTTATAGAAAAAGATTATAGAGTTATTTCTTTAAAAAGAACTCATAAAGACCAACCCCCAAAGAACCAAACCATTGATTCAATTCCAACTCATAGCAACCCTATTGAACAACTCCTTAGGATTTCTGAGACTGCAAATCTTTATGGGAGCAGGATGCCTCATCTTTCTCCCTCAAAGTATCTGATGGGTTGGAACTGCCAACTTTGCGGTTAGCAGCCCAGCATGTAACCCACTGTGTCATCTGGGCTCCTTAAAGACAACTTGGTTGTTGTTGGTAAGTGCCACCAAGTCAATTCTGACCCATAATGACCCTGTATAGGGTTTCTGAGGAGTGGCTGGTGAACTTTATGGGAGCAGCTGAGCCATAAATCTAACAAGAAAAGTGAATACCATGCAGGTTCGCTGAATTTTTAACTGACCCAACTCCTGAATGTGTGTGGCGGAATGACTAGAATGACCATCTCTGTGGATCTTTCTCTTCCATTAAAGAAGAAACCATTGCTGCCACCGCAGAAGACAGAATTAAGAGTACAAATGTCTGAAGGTTTCAAAAACCTAAAGGAAGAGCAAAGTGTCTCAGCAGGGCTCTGGGGTCTGTGCCAGCTGGCTGAAAATTAAGCAAGAGTGTCAGAACTAGAGTAATAAAAAATCCTTGCTGCATTCCTGAATTCTAGAGTCTCCAAACGGTTAAAGAATCACCTACAGCAAGAAGAAAATTCACCTGCAGGAAAGACCTCTAACATCGATCATGCTAATGTACTCTGATTAGCTAACTGATCTAATTCCACAGGCAGAGGGGAGGAACAGGAAGAAAAGAAAAAGAAAGAAGGCACATTAAGGTCCAGGTCTTCAGCAAAGTCAAAACAGAAACAGCTCAGCCAATCCCTGCTTGGAGGGCCAGGCACCTCTCCTAGCAAGGGATTTCAGGGACTACTGAAGAAACTTCTTATGGGGTGGCTCCACTTAAAAATGACAACAAAAATAAAACGCAAGCCCCCAAGAGCACGTGAAGTGAGTTTTGTACTAAAAAGCCCCAAATAAACTGTCCTGCCAGGAGAAATGCAAGCCAATAACCCTGCTTCTACTTGTTTTAATGAAGTAGAACATTCTATGGGATAATTTTCAACTACAATGAATTCTCCCTCCTATACCTGCTTTTCAAGGAAACCTTAGGTGGCACAAACATTTAAGTGCTCAAACAGTTAAGTCAAAAGGTTGGCAGTTTGAACTCACCTAGAGGTGCCTCTGGTAGTGTAGTGGTTATGAATCGGGCTGCAAACCTTAAGGTCAGCAGTTTGAAACTACCAGCTGTTCCGCAGGAGAAAGGTGAGGCTTTCTGCTCCCGTAAAGATTTACAGCCTTGGAAACCCTGTACAGAGTCGCTATGGGTCGGAACCGATTCCACGGCACCTAACCACCAGTACCAGCGGTGTCTCAGAAGAAACTCCTAGCAATCAGCTGCTGAAAGGTCACAGCCTAAAAACCCTATGGAGCAATTTCACTCTGCACGCATAGGGGTGCCATAAGTTGGAATCGACTTGACAGCAACTAACAACATCAACCACATTTCCCCCTAGCCTAGTTTAGGGTCCTGGTGGGGTGCTGTAGGATAAGCACTGGACTGCTAATCACAAGGTCAGTGGTTCAAACCCACCAGCCACTCCTTGGAAACACTATACAGGGTCACTATGAGTCAGAACCAACTCGACAACACTTGAAAACAACAAGCTTGGCAATTTGGAATACAAGCATACGTGACCCATCCATGTTTATCTCAGATTCACAGTCTTCAAGAGAATCACTGAAAGGAATTTTCAGCAAGCACACAAGTGAATGAAAGACTGAGTATCTGCAAAGAATTTTTTCTCCCGCAAATAGACTTGATGTCATCTTTTAAAAAGTGGTCATTTATTAGTGGGGGAGGGAGGATTACTTTATTGGCCTAATTAAAGCAGCATTTATTTCTTAAATATACTATTAGTTTCAAAACAAGAACAAAAATAAAGTCACATAACACACCAACAAATGGGTAGTTGTTAACATGGATTAAATTACAAATTCCTTGCTCTTAACATTGTAAACGTACTTTCAACTCTCTGTTTCTGACAGAAGAGTTGAAACTGGGAAGACAAATGCTCACGGCTTTGCTCATGCAAAGCGCAGCTAATAAAAATGTTTAAGAGCTGCTGATTTGAAAGTTTCTTAATTATCAGCAAAGGGAGAAGTCTCTAATTCTACTCAAATCTGTCCTTTTCCACTAAATTTGGGCCTGTGACAATGCAATAGACTGGTTGTTTTCAAAGTAAAGTAAAAATTGCAATACTAAAAGAAATGTTAATGATGCAAAATCAATTATGATGTAAAAGAACGAAAATAATTTTAACTAAATGAGCACACTTTACAAAAAAAAATTTGTTTCTTGAGCTTAAACAGTTAATTCCTAGATTCTCCACAGGCACGCACATGTACACAACCCCATAAGAAGGGCTGTCTTCAGAAACTGCAAGTTTATTTTGTCAAAAATAAAAAACCATTCATTTCCAGAATTAACAGTGAAAGGCAAACTTGGGCCCTTACCTGATAAAGTTTTATGATATGAGGATGGTTCAAAAGCTTCATGATCTGAACCTCTCGATATATTTTCTCCAAATTGCTTGGGTCTAATCTTGTTTTATCAATGATTTTTATTGCAACCTACAGATTTTGAAAAAGAAAAAAGGGTGTTTTGCTGAAGAAGAAGAAAACCCAAAAACCTCCCTCAACCTAATTTACACATTTCATTTTTTGATAGATTGATTTCTAAAATACTTTACTCATTAGGCCATAAAAATGCTGGTAACCAGAGTAACCAATGACAGTACTAAAATAATCAGTTAAACAAACACCTGATGTTTGTAGGGCCAATTCTCAGCGCTTCGGCTTTGATCCTTGGACACAGCACGCTTGATTTTGATCAATAGCGTTTTATCACCCTCTTAGTATTTGTACAATTTATGCAGAAACACAAAGAATTTTTTTTTCTTTACCAAACCAAAAACTGGAAGCTTTTGGATATTAATGTAACCAACTCCACAGGCACTGAATGCACCCAGCGGATCTCTAGGGCCCTTCAATTCCCCACTTCCAGCTCCCTCCCTTATTGGGCGCCCCAGGTCTGTCTGGTCCGGGCGCCAACACCCACTTACCTGGGTTTTGGTGACTCGGTGACGGGCTAGCTTCACTACAGCGAAATTGCCTTTGCCCAGAGTTCGCTCGATGTCGTAAAAGCCCACTCGGAGGGGCTTCTGCTGGCTCTGGCCTGAGCCCACAGCCGCCGCACTGAACTCCGACATGATCACCATGGCTCTGGTGGCCGCACCTGCGGGACAGGTGGAAAAGAGTCTCGCTCAACATCGGCCGGCCTGGACACTCACCCCAGAACCCCGAATACCCTGACCTGGATTTTCCAGACCTGGCCCCCAACATGGATTCCTCTGCCAGGACCCTCGCGCCCGAAGCCTCGGCTACTGGGTTACTTGTAGCCTGAACTCCCAACAGGCAGACCTCTCGCGTACAGATCCCTAACCCGAACCCTCCACCCAGGGGCCCCGCGTTCCCAGACACAGGTACTCCGAGCCCGCTCCGTCCTCCAATGGTGCGCTCATAACCCTCTGTCCGCGATCGGATCCACTGGAGACTTTGTAGTGGTACGCAGGGCGCGTAGACCCCCGCCCACACCTGCTCCCCTCTGTCTGTGGCCGGTTTCACTCCGGCCCCCAAGTCTCCTTAGCAAGGCGCGAAGACCGCATCCTACACCCGCTCCCGCGGTTATTCTACTCGGAACTCCTGGACTCCCTATCTGGGCGCGGAGCCCAATAGATAGTTCCCACACCCGCTGCCCGCCGTCTGAAGTCGGTGCTACTCGCAACTACCGGACTCCCTCGTAGGGGTGTGAAGATCAGATCCTCTCCTATATATCCATCGTTCGCAGTCGGCTCCACTTCGGTCCCGTTCCCGGATCGCTAAGCGCGCAGGTTCCCCTCCCATACCCACCGCCTGCCCCACAACAAAGGGGATCCCGGCGGACGGCGAAACCCACGTCCCCGCCCGCGACCCTACGCGTATGAATCTGCTAGGCCACCGGGACCCCGAGCGCAGTCGGAAACCGAGTCCCAGCCTGGCCGCGCACGCCGAGCCCCACACCACTGGCCAACTCCGGCCGCGCCGCCGCCGCGAGCGCGGTGACTCCTGTCGCTCACCTCCACCGCCCTCGGGCGGACTCCGCCGGGCACCAGTTCGGAGCCGGCAGGCTTGAAATCACTGGCCGACCCGCGGCCTCCGCCGCCCGCACGCCGCTCGCGCCGCTCGGGCCGCCGCTGCTCGTGCCACCGCCGCTGATATTGCCGCCGCCGCCCGAGCCGCCGCCGCATGTCAGCTCTGAGACCGGCGCCGCTCGCTCCCCGCAGCAGAGCAGCCGCTCCGCCCACCGCCCCACCCACCGCCCTTAGGCTCCACCCCGTGTCTGCCTGCCCAGCTTCCACCCCCACAAGTCCCACCCCCTCCAGGCCCCGCCCCGCTATGCAATGCATCGCTCCGCCCCCGGTCTGGGCCGCCTACCGCTAGGTCACGCCCCACCGCTAACTACACCACGCCCCGTTTTCGCCAACCCCTCCCTCCAGCCCCGCCCCTTCCAGGCCCCACCCCACCGCCGCCGCCAGATTGATACATTCCCATTGACGTCGTTTTGACGCCAGAGCGACGCGCGGCCTCGCGCGAGGCGGAGGGAGAGCGGGAGATCGGGCTGTTGCCAAGACACTGGCGGCTCTGACGCGCGGGCTGGTGAGGCTGTCGCCTTGGCGACCGCGGGACAATGACGTCAGGGGCGCCGGCCACCGGAGGCCCGACGAGCCGGACAGCGGGGCTCGTGTGCTCACTGCGCGGCGCCCCCTTCCGGAAGTGATCGGCGTTACAGGCGGCTTTAACCCTGGATTCGCTGAACCCCTTGAGTACAGCTTGTACCGCCTACTCTGTGCTAACATGCCCGAGTTCTCATCTAAACGCCCCTTCTCCTCACACGGTTACAAAGGGGCGTTTGAGGGCGGTTCTGAGTACTCCTCAAAGGGTAGAAACAGCAGCTAAGACGTGGGCAACCTTGAAGCCCTGTGGTCCCTGTGACGCTCTCAGTCTCTCATCTGTCCTAAAATTTCTACCCTGCCCTCTAAAGTGCCAGGCTTCAGAACATCCATTAGGGAGGGTGGAGTCTCTGGATGGTGCAGAGGTTAAGCCCCTGGAGCACTGGACGACAAATCAAAATGTTAGAGGCTTGAGTCCATCCAGAGGATGCAAAAACTCAGCCATTGAAAAATCTATGTAACACGGGGTTCTCCTGTGATACACATGTCATCGTCAATCAATGAAGATACAGACCCAAAAAGCCAAACCCACTGCCATTGAATCAATTCTGACTCATAGCGGCCTTGGATAGGGTTTCCAAGATCTTGGTTCCCAAGCAGCTGGTGGGCTTGAACTATACAGTTCTGCATTTAACAGTCCAGTGCTTATCCTATATCACCACCAGGGTTCCTTTTGAAGACTCATGTTGTTAAGTGCCTTCGAGTCGGTTCTGACCCATATCGACCCTGTACAGGGTTTCTGAGGCTGTAAATCTTTACGGGAGCAGAATGCCTCATCTTTCTCCCTCAGAACAGCTGATAGTTTCAAACTGCTCACCTTGCAGTTCGCAGCCCGATTCATAACCACTACGCTACCAGAGGAGTTTATGGGTGCCTGCCTTGTGACCACACGTTCCCACCCCAGAGAAGAAACCCACCTGGTAGTCGGGAACAAAGTGTGAACCATCTGGATCTTAAAATCTATATACAGTGAGTTGAACTTCCATTACTTTTGTTCCATAAACATCTGGAAATCCTCAGCAACTTAGAAGTGTGAGACATGGGAGAACATGGTCAACTTCTGAAAACCTACTACCAGTGCAGGAGAGAGCAGTCCTGCTTCCACCCTGGCCCCTGCACTCTTACCCTGCTAACTGACCTCTGATGGTTATGTGCCAGTTTGGCTAGGCTATGATTCCCAGTGATTTAACTAACATTGAACAAATTCCTCTTTTATAATGTAATGTAACATAATCATCCTCCATTTTATGATATGATGTGAGCAGTCAATTAGTTGAAAGCCAAGCAGCTGAAAGTCAAATCATTTTCCTTGAGGGTTTGGCCTATATCCAATATATACAGACGTTCTGGCTAGTCTCACTCACTTTCACTCTCTCTTTTTATCCTGCATCTGACTCATTATCCTCTGACCTCTGTTTCTTGGGTATGAGCCAGCAGCATTCCATATGACCTGCCAATTTTGGGTTCATTATCCCCTGCAACCATGTGAAGATGCTTCCAGCCTGATGCCTGACCCACAGATTTGGGACTTGCCAGCCTTCATGAAGGCGTTTCAGAAAGTTTGTGGGAAATGAAATTAAAGGATAATAAATAGAGGGTAGAGACACAGTAACTGAGTGACAAAGAGAGGGAAGTTGGTACACTAATAAAGACACAATGAAGTAGGCAAGGGCTAAAGAGGATGGATAGTGGTAAGCAGTTACATACACAACTTTGAAACAACAGTGTTCTGTGGGTAGATACATGAATAGTAGAGGAAGAGTGGGGGTGTACCCACAAATATATAAGGGCCTGAAAAAGCTATTTGTACATATTTACCTTTGCTGCAAACTTACCTGTGAATGTGGTGGAACATAGAGTGGGCAAAATGATGAAAACTTGTTCTTGTTTTGGTGTTGGGAAGTGCAATAAAGTCAATTCCAACCAATAATGACCCTTTATAGGGTTTTTGGGAAGTGACTGGTGAGCTTGAACCGCCAACAGGTTCAAAGCAACTGTGCAGTCTGGCAAATTAACCCATAGTGCCACACCAAGACTCCAAAAACTTCTTAAGACATTATAAAACATTTTAAGGCAATGAGTTGTTGGGAATGGGGCTCAGAACCATAATCTCAGAGGACACCAGGGTCAATTGGCATAACATAGCCCACAAAGACAATATTCTACATCCTACTTTGGTGAATAGCATCTAGGATCTTAAAAACTCATGAGTAGCCATCTAAGGGTCAATGATTGGTCTCTCCATGTGCGTAAGGAAGAAGAGTGATAAGAATTGAACTTACTTGAAATCAGTCCAATGAACTAATGGAACCTGTGACCATCAGTCTCCATGACTCTGAGACCAGAAGAACTAGATGGTGTCTGGCTACCATTACCAACCACTCTGAAAGGGATCACAGTTGAAGATCCTGGATAGAGTGGGATAAAATGTGGAACAAAACTCAAAATTACTAAGAAAGAAAGGAAGGAAGGAGGGAGGGAGGGAGGAAGGAAGGAAGGAAGACTACGCTTACCCGTTAGAAAGAAACGGACGAATGTAAGACTATGTTGTTGTTGTTGTTGTTGTCAGGTGCCATCGAGTCGGAACCGACTCATAGCGACCCCATGCACAGCAGAACGAAACAATGCTCGATCCTGGGCCAACCTCACCAACGCTGCCACCCCCGAGTCCATCAATGATGCCACCTGGCCGATCCATCTCGTTGGAGGTCTTCCTCTTTTTCTCTGACCCTCCACCCTACCCAGCATGACATCCTTCTCCAACGATTGTTTCCTCCGGACTACATGTCCAAAGTAGGAGAGACGAAGCTTAGCCATCCTGGCCTCCAAGGAGCACTCTGGCTGCACTTCTTCTAACAGAGCTGGTTCTTTTGGCAGTCCATGGCACCCTCAGTATTCTCCTCCAACACCACAACTCAAAGGCATCAATTCTTCTACGATCCTCTTTATTCACTGTCCAGCTTTCGCATCCATATGAGGCTATGACTATGAACCCATCTAATTATTAGCCAAGCAGTAGATAAGTATATGTTGCTGTTGTTAAGTGCCGTCAGCAGGTGGTAGGTTTGAACTGCGGACCTTGAGTCAGAATTCATTCAACAGCAGTGGTTTTGCTTTTCTACAGAACCCAGCCTAAGACAGCCTCTAAGAGTGGGAAGGAGTTGTTTTCTCCAGACAAATGTACCCTATTCAAGATGGTGGGTTGGGAATGGCTTTCAGGAAGTTCTTTTCCACAGATTGCAATCAATGATCTGAAACAAAGTGTGTGTGATTTGTTGAATGTAAAACTGATGATCTGATCTGCAAACTTTCACCCAGTTCACAATAAAAAGTTCAATAAAAAAATAAAAAGAAGAAATTCTCTTCAACCATGATAAGCTTTAGTTTATTCTGCTGATCCAACACTATCTAATGGCCTGAGAAAGTCCCAGGCTATTCTTTTTGGAATC